GCCAAACTCAATACATGCATAAAAGCATTGGCGGCTGAGGCGCGTGGAGGCCACGGTGAAGGGGCAGGCGAAGCCGCCCAGATCGAAGAGGAGGCCGCCGGCCAAGCGGCCAAGCTGAGCTCCCGAGCCCACGGCCACCTCAGCCTCGCCCACTCGAAGTGAATGGAACTCAAAAACTGTTTCCCTTCTTCTTCTTCTCCTTTGTTTTTTTCTGCGACTGTCTTGCTCTGGGGGCAGCACCATTGCCACGGTGTAGGCCACGGCTGCCATGGCAACAGCACTAGGTACCGCCACTGTGCCACATTTCACAGCTCACAGGGCCTGCGAAGCTTCTGGAGATCAGGCTGGTGTTGGCCGCCATGTAGTAAGCCTGGCTGATGCCTGGCCATGCCAGCAGCTGCGGGGGCTCAGCTAGGACTGTCTCTTCATTCACTCCTGCACTACACTGTCACCTTGTGTGAAGCGGCAAACCAGAAGCGCTGCAAAGACCGCATCAGGGCCTGCACAGCTTCACAGCTTCACAGCTCCACCGCGAATCAAAGAAGGCTTTAGGTCCGGCCCTGCCTGCAAAGTCATGCACCTGGTGTGACAGCGCCATGAGCAGAGAGCCTTGCAGGTGCTGCGATGCGCCACACCGGGAACGAACAAACTGAGGGTCCCGGCTCAGGGACATAAAGAGCAGCGTCCAGGAATGCAGGCGTATGATGCAAGAGGATTGCTGCGCCTTGCAGTAAACAGGATTCCGCTGGCGGTTCCGTGCATTCATCCATGTTTGATGTGCGAACATCTCGTGATGTGCAAACAGCTGGTCTTGATGCAAGCCAAGCTGTTTCATGCCTCATGGTCAAAGATCACCAATTTTGTAACTTGACGGTCGAGTGTCACCACTCGGCGCGAGCCTTTGCTGCAGCACAGGGCGTTGCCAGAAAGGCCCCAAGAGGGTAAACGGACATCGCCTCAGAGAAGACCCCAAGACGGCCCACGCGGTCATGGCATCTGGTCGCAGGGTGGCAGGCAAGGTCTCACAGGTCTCAGGCACAGGCGAGGCCCACATGCCCCGGAGTCTGGTGGAAGTCTTGCGACATGACGAGTGGCAAGAAAGGGGTTGGCATGGCCCGGGTCCAGAAAGCCAGTCCTGCAAGGAGGTCCACTTTCGTAAGAGCAGTGCTAGATGATCCAGAACTGCCTGTTGCCAGCAACACATAGAAGAAGAGGGAGTTGTGCTCCTGCAGTGAGGCGAACCAAAAGCGCCTCCTACTCCTAACAGAAAGAGCGTTTCAAACGCAAATCCAGGATGAGCCGATCAAGCATGCCTTAGGTTGAAAAAGTCTCTCTTCTCGGCGCATCACAAAAGTCACTGCAAGGGCTCTTGGAGAAGTCACCTGGCATTCGCAACACATAGTTGGAAACCTTGACATCAGATGGCAATTCAGTTGCACTGTGATGCTGAAGCATTCTGAGTTCTGCAAGGAACCGTTTCGCTACGCTGCCCAGTTGCGACGAAACATTGGGCAGCTCAGTTCAGTTTCAGACATGGATACATCAGCCATGACGCTTTTGTGGTACAGCTGTGCACGAAGCAGGGCACATAAGCAAAAAAAACTTCAATCAACAGGCATCTCGGATGCGGTCCGTGTCTTTCTTCTCCCCTTTTGCCATGGTGCTGGCAAGCTGGCCAGCCATTGCGCCATGGGAAGTGATGTGTTGTTCAAGCTGGATGCAAGACAGCCTACAGATTTGGCCATCATGCCACGACTCAAGCTCTCTGCTGCATCGCTGTCCAGAATGTTGCATGGGCTAAATTGCCTTGCCTGTTCCCAGCCTGATGATGCTGACCAAAAAGGTAGTGTTAATATCTTCGCCTCAGATGTCTAACAACTTAAATCCACATGGCTGGAGCGAGCGGCCCAGAAGGACACCTCTGGTAGAATTGGTGCTTCAAGAAAGCCATTCGGATCAAAATGTATCCCCGTCCAAATCCCATCCCAGAAATCCCAAGCAAATTGATGCTACAAGCTGGGCCCAACAGCGCCCTTCCAGCCATATGGTTCAGGTTGCAGCCATGGCCGCCTCTTCCAAGCTGTGGTCTTCCTTGATGTGCAAACCGATGGTTCCCATACTTGCAGGTGGCTTTACATTTCAATTCTGCTGCTAGTCGATGAATTGGAGACCCTTTCCCACATTCGCCCGTTTGTCCCAAGACATGTAGCCTGCTGAGTTTAATCACACAAGAAATGCTGAGCAGGCTAGCGCGTCCGGAGCAGGCTAGCATGTCCGTTTTTAGGAACATTCGTTGCAGATTTTTCCACAAGAGACGTAGCCTGCCCAATTTTTCGAGCAGGCTGGCAAATCTGAGCAGGCGCGTTAAATTGACTGAACGCAGAGAAGGGCCTCTGAATGAAGGCAGCTACCCCTGCTTGCAAGTGGTCATCACACACAGCCCCCCGCGTCATCTTAGGGGGTTCAAGAAAAACAGCAGCACGCTGCATTCAATGCGTCCACCCCTCATTTCTTTCCAAGTGCAAAAAACCACGGAACTGCCTCTCCCTCTTCTCTTACAATTTCCAGACTTGAACCAAACATTTTTTGCAACAAAACGAAAAATCTTGTTCATTAACTTATCCATTTGTTCCAATTGTTCATGTAAAGGAGTTCTGCTCAGGGCATGACGCTGACAGAGCTCAAAGCAGCCCAGGCCTTCAGGGTGCCCGGCATTTTGACTCGAAGCCATAAACGGACTCCTACATAATGGCAACCAAGACGATAACATGTGTTCTCATTTTCGAACACATGCAAACACGGTTTTCTGGCTGCAAAACAAACTTCAATCTGCTCTTGATGTGATCTTAACAACTGTAAATGGGGCTTTGTCCGGGCTTGAAAGTATTTGCCATGCTTTCAAGTTGTAAGGTCGCCCACATCATGGGTTTCACTCGCAATAAAGCAACCAAAGCTTCCCCACATGTAGGCCGGAAGCCTATAGATGCGGCAGTGTCGTTCAGATTTTCTCTCGAAGTCACTCATGCATTGCCTCTCTCCTTGCCTTGAAACACTCCATCCAAACTGATCGTAAAACATGATCTGAGATGATCGGGAAGATGGCATCGGCCTTGGTCTCTGCCTGTGAGCGACCCATTGCTTGGCCAACTACGTGCATCAAAACTAATAATACTGTACCGTTCTTTGGGCTTGCACTGCTCCTAGGCTTAATACTTACCACCACAAAACGGCAGAAGGCACTTCTCTCTTTTTCTCTGGGTTGCTCTGAGTGTCATGCAGAAAGGAGGGCTGAAAAGGCTCAGGGCTCCAGCCCGGGTCACCTTTCATTCTGCCCCCCTGGGAAAAATGCAAGAACCAGAGGCTTCTGGGCTGAACTACGAGTTCAGGCTTTGTGAAACTAAGGCAAGAAAGCTGAGCTCAGCGGGATCCAGCTAGCCTGAGCGGGCTAGGCTCAAGTCTGTGCAAGCGAGCGCAAACAGACATGCTGAGTCAAGGCCCTGGCGAGGGCTGAAAGGCTCGGCGGGCCTGAAGCCAGCGGGCTTTTGACCTGGAAGGCTAGCGTGCCTGAGAAAGCTTGCTGAGCCTGCGGGCTGAAACAAGGCTGGTGTGAAACAGAAAGCACTAAGCTGTGCGTGTAGGGCAAACTCCCCCCACCAGCCACCCCAAGCACCACCAGGTGAGAGGGGTAGGGTATCCGCGGGAAAATGGCGATGCCATTAAATCGATATTCCTCAAAATCGTCCTCATTCAACAATCATGATATCATAATCGGGATAGCTATCATGGATTCATACATCCATTCCAAAAACGCAACTCCCCGGAATGATATCAAAGGGGACCATGTCCCCAATAAATGAAGACAAATTTTGCATCACGCAGGAGTGTACATGTTGGTTGGACTGACATGTCACATGCAACTGAACGCACTCGGACAGGGTTCTCTTTTTCCCGTGGAGCGGATTGGACTTCCCACGTTCGGCGTAGGCACATGACCCCTTACTCCCCCCTGGGATACATGCAACGTAGCATTCAGCGAAGCCAGAAGGCTAGGGCTGAGTTCGCACGTAAAAATGGAGTCATGTGCAAACACCCCGCGCAACGCCGAAGCCGACGTCCACTATTTGGTCCCAATCCGCCCCGTCTCCCGAGATGCGCGAACAGTGCACCCATCCCCCCAGCCTCCGTTTCTCAGCCAGGGCTCTCTCAATCAAAAACTCGCCATGACGGGCCTGTGTCGCTTCCAGAACCTTCCGAGCACGCGTCAGCTGAGAATATTGCCATCCCGCACGCGCCTTTGTTCATGATCAAATGGCCGAAGGCACCATGTGTCAGTGTGTCTGCCTAGAGGTCTCAAATAAGAAGGATGGTCGCAGCTGTCCCATAATCTAAAATATCCCGGACCCCGAACACAATCCAACACGGTTTGCCACAGAGACAAGCCTATTCCCCATTCCAAGGACGGAAACGCGCCTGATGTCCACCTGACCTGACCTGCCTGGAAGATAGCGACACATGGACCTGGCGACGCGTCACCGATGGCCCCCCTGCAACCTGCTGACCTGCACAGCCACGCGCGAAACTTTAGGCCCAAACCACACGAGCTTCATCAGGAAAGATGAGAGCCACATGATTGAACAAGATGAGTCCCACTCCGCCTGACCAGGTCAACAGCACTGTGTGATGAGCTGCGCCACACAGACGCACCGCACCAGGGTAGATGTTGCAATTGACAAGGCTGCCAACAAGTCCCGCACTGTACCAAGCAAAGTTGATTGGCCGCTGTGAGCTCCCGCTACAAGCGGCAGCTGAGGAGCCCCACAAAGGCCAAGCTCCCATCCCACTCAATCTGCTCCTTAAAAATGCACTGCCTCAGAACTGTGCCAGAGCTAAGCTCGGCGGCACCTTGTGAGACCTGCAAGCACACCCCTTGCACTGCGCCTTACGGCGACTTGCAACCTGGCACGCGACATGCACCGTCTTGCAACCACCTGCACCGGAGGATGGCACAAAACCCGACGAAACTGGCCAAGCCTTGCAACCCGAGGAAGCCGACACCAGCATGCAACCTGCTGGCATTCCTGTACCTGCCACTGCTCTACCTGTAGGCACCCTGCAATCCGCCAGCCCGCAACCTGCAACCTGCATCTGACCCTCTTGATGATACCCTGCAGCCTGACCACACCGGCAGCACCCTACACTGCCCTAGTAGTACAGCCTGATAAACTGGTGGCCCCTGCCACGTCCTGGCACGCCCCTCGGCGACACCCTGACATCTTTCAGCACACTACCCAGCAGCACCTGAAGGCACACTGCAACCTGGCAAGCATAAATTCCCGCCTAAGCACAACACTGTATACCCTGCCTTATATGGGTGGCCAAAGGCAAAATTTTGCAGGGTCTACAACAGTGCCAACTGGCACACACCGGAGAAAGGGACCCAATTCAAGGGGCCTAGGGTTAGGGTATAACCCGCCCCATCAGCCTGTGTCTGACCTGTCACACAAACCTCTCCGCTTGCGGGCACCTAGACTTCTGCCCTGCCTGGACCCCTTTCACGCGCATCACTGACTGCACCGTGGCTGCACCTGAGCCTTGCGCAACTGGCTAGGGTTTGGGCAAAAACCTCGCTGAGCAACTTGCAGACTCACACGCACCTCCCCAACCTGCAGGCAACCTGAACTTGCAACTGCAGCCGGGCGTCTGGCAAATGCGCCCCACTGTCTTGCACACACGCACGCGCCTGTGAGCTGCCATCCTGCAAACACATTGACCTTGCATCCTTAGCCTGGGCCTGGGACACTGGCACCTGGCGTGGCGGATTCAGAACACCTGTACTAGGCCTAGCAAACGCATGTGAGCTGGCGCAGTCAAAACACCTGCAATCGTGCACCTTGACCTTGCAGCCTGATGAGACCTCACGCGATCTGCGGCACACCCTGAACCTGTCCTCGTGACACCGTGCGGCCACCTGCCCATTGTGGCCCTTGCTGTGCACCCGCAACGCGCTTACACCTAATGTTACCTTATAGGCTACCGGTCACGCAACCTGCGCCTGCACCTGATGGCCCCTAGCAACCTGTGCTTCGAATTGGAGCACGCCTTGCAACCTGCTGGCACCTCGCCACCTGTAGCTACCTGCTTGACTCTCGACAAGCAAATCGCTCCCAAAATGGAGCCACCCCTAAGTGCTTCTTCAGAGTCAATGCCTTGCCTCTGCAAGAAGAACCATCCATCTGGAGTACCTAGCTCCAACTCCTGCTCCGGCGTCAATGCCGGCGCTGCCATGAAAGCGCAGCACCCCCTCACCAGGAATCGCCTTGTGCCCATATATGGGACCGTCACGTTGCAGTTCGTACGATGGCAATAAGCACTGACTGTTGCTCTGGCAATTTGAGCAGTCTAGCCTCATGATAGATGCTGCGTTGCCCGAGGGAGGATCCGACTGATCCAAGCCTCCTTCCAGCACACGTCCACAATCTGAAACATCTCCCATGTGATCAAGACGAACAGCGTGCATCCACTCCAATAGACGCGGTGTAGCATGAGGGAGGGTCTGCTTGACCCAAGCCCCGCTCCGGCGCAGCTCAAAAGTTTGTAATTCACCAGCGCCATCAAGGCATGCCCAGATGACAACTTGTGTTTCTCCCGTGAAGATGGGAAGATCCCCCAAAGCTCACCACTGT